CCCTCTAACACAATGGGATGAAACAACAAGTTATAAGCATTCCAGCAATTCATGGTGACTACAAGATAACACTCAGTACCTTTCTTACATACAAAAAAGAGCTAAAGGCTTTAGTTTTGTTTGCTTCTGTTTTTCAAGCTTATGCAGTAGAATTAAAGGAACAGAAGCTGTGTGTTTCATAAATTAACTTCTTTCAGAGCACATTTTTGCTTGGAGTGAATCCTGGGGGGTTGGTTTATGTTTACATTTTTTAATATTAGCTCAGCTAACCATTTGATCCATAGTGCACATAATTTTCTGCTTCTCTTCCAGCACTCCTTGAAAGACAAGCTCTGGCAATAAATATAGATCTGGAAAGTCTGAAACAAGGCTTCAGCAATCACTGCTGGCTAACTGGAATTCCACACTAGGCTATTTGCTTCCTCTTTTAGATATAAATCAAAAGAAAAGGAAAAGAGGAAAACAGCAGTAGACACCTATCCTGAGTAATTTGCAGGGGGTACAACAGGAAGGCTGTCATGTCAGCTATCTCAACATCTAAACAGAAATATTTACCAAGGAACTGAAGGATTCAACAGCACATTCCCTGTTTACCTTGTTATTCTCTGCTTTTTCATTTCCAAACTTGTTCCCATCTGCAGTTTTGATGTCTCCTAGCAAACCCACATTACCACAGCCTGGTCTTGTTGATTATTAGGTATGCTTGTTCTCCCAACCTAGTGGAGCCAAACTACTTAGCAGAGCACTTTGCTCAGCCGTTAAATAGTATCCCTTTTATGCAGAAGTATCCTTTACTCAAGACATTCACGTGGGAAATAGTAGTACTTCACAAGGCTGGGAGAACAGTCTGCAATTTTCCACCTTTGAGCTCTTTCTTGCTTTAAGAAGCTGGTGTCTGCCTGCAAGGGAGAAGGCTGCTGATCTCTCAGAACTCTGTGCTTTGAGGGGCAGGAGGGTTAGCACCAAAAACAAGGTTTAATCCAAGAGAGATTTCTGGTGAAAGAGTTCAACTGTCAGAACAGTCGCATTATAACTACTAGATGTGGATATCCATGCAGCCAGACACAAACTCTCAGCACACAGCCTCATCACTCCAGATAGCCAAATGGCTTCGTGTGAAGCTGTTCAGAACAAGAGAAATCATGCAACTGGGTCTACATATTTTTCCCAGAGACATTCTGGGCTATAAAGCAGTTCAAGATGATCAGCCATAACACAGGCAATTGGACATTATACTCATCCAAATGCTGTCTGGAGAAAAAGCTGATCACTCACTAAAAGCAGAGTTCATATTGATACAGAAGGAGACAGACCAGTATTTAGCTTTTTGTGTGGATGGAAATGCATCTCAGTGAAGCAACTCCATGAAGGTTGTACGCTCAGTGCATTTCTTTGTGCTTTGATTCTTTTCCTGGTTTATTATAGAGCATGAACCACAAATCCCAAAGTGCTTGCCAAAAACCAAATGCATGCCAGGAGCCACAAACTACAACAAAAATGGTTTTGCAGGTGAAAGTACCAACATTTGTATACATGCAGGTGGAGAACTAATTAATAGAAATGCATTAAGGAAAGTAAATTCTAAGCAGGTGTTAGTACTTACAAACTACAAATTAAGATAAATGGAGATTTTATTGAAATTTCTATAAATTGAGTTAATCTAGAGATCTGTCTAAATATGCACTAATTTAAAATAATTTTGGATTCATGAACAAACTTGCTAGTGACTTTTTATACAATCTTTCATTTAGGAAGTGCTAAATAGTGTTATGGAGGAGTACAAGTGTCAAAGTGCAGGAAGACTCTTCTTATTTTTCTGCAGTGAAGTGGCAACAAATGCAAATTGTCAAATCACAGAATGTAACAGAACAAACATGGATTTCTCAGTATCACCCCAGCCATGTTACTCTGATGATTTTTCTTTTGGTACACAAGGAATCAATGCACTGTTGTTTTCAATAACTACCATCTCCTATATACTCTGGAACTATCTTTACAATTTAGACTGATTTTTTCCTTCTATGAAGGCCTATTAACTGGTGGAGGCTGAGATTCATTTTTCAATCATTTGACATTCATTAGTCCTGTTAAAGTGCCAAGATCCTTGGTAACAAATAATGAAGGATATTTAATAAGTGGTTACAAAGCTTAATGCAGTGCTCTCCAGCAAATAACACATCTACATAACATTCAGAGCCAATCTGATGTTTTATCTGATAGCATTCAGTCACTATCTTCTTAATCCAAACAATACGAAATAGCATTTTGATAGAAGCCCAGATAAAGTATTTCATTGAGTTCCATTCCTTTTCTTCAGATCAAAAGATATCTCTGAGGTAGTTTCTCTTCCCATGTTCTTTTGTTGTCATGTGCATATTTCTTTATTGCATAATTTGACAATAGGACAGATAGGGATGAAAATATCCGTTTCTGTGTGCTTGTTTCCACAACAAATGAGAAATAATCTAGATCTTCCCTCACACTGTGGCATTTTGATCGTTTTCCTTTACATGTGCAAATGACATCCAGGAACTAATCACCACACTGCCAGAATCTCTTATGGTTTGTGGGCTTTCAGTGTCCACCAGAACTGTAGCTGCTTTCTGCCTCTGTTAAGCTGTCTCCTTCCATCTACCCTCCAAATTTATACTCTGTGGATGTGCACTCTATTAATTACACAGAGACAGCATTCACAGGGCACTACATATTCTCAAAACTTGAAGAAAGGCAATCCCTGAAGATACAGTTTGCTGTTTCTATTGAATGACTGTCGTTTCTTGCCTCTCTGTATTTCTGTTGTCACTGCATAAAGGAGTTTTCTGTACAGTGTTCTGTGGGCTCAGCCAGCGCCAACTTGCTCTTTCTAGGCAGGCTTTCCATGCTGACTTGGATGTGAGCACATATCTGCTGACAGTAGCCTCACCACGACTTTTATTTGCATCAACAATTTTTTTTTTCATATTTCAGCTCATAGCATTTTTCTCTGACAAACACACATGCTATCTTAAAAAAAATGTTGAGAGAAAAGCTATTGTTTCACTCCTTAAATGATTTCTTAGAAGGCAAAAATCAGGAAAAATGCCTAGTTAGCCACTGCATAAAGAAAAAGGTTGCATCAGCTTTTCTTTGACTCCTTTTCTCACAAATGTTTCAGTAATTCACCTTCTTCAATGTGGCATGCCTTCTCAGTTAGTGGTCAGACCTCCAATAAGGATACTGAGGTGGGAGGGATGCTGTGTGAAGCTGGGATTATGCTTATCACCTTGTTCATCTGCTGCAGCCACTGGGTGGAGAACATCCATACAGCAGCTGCAAAATATACCATAATATCTGGACTCAAAAGCAAGGAGTTGGGACTAGGATCTCTGGTTTAATACAAAATTACTCTGAAAGAGCTGAGGATTGTGGGGGACTTTTCTAGATATTGAGAGTTTGTTTCCAAGGTTATAGTTTGGGTCCAAAGTTAGTACTCATATAAATACAGGAGAAATTAACAGTCTGGGTCATTCTGATCTTATCTTTTTTGACCTCCAAAAAAAGTGAAATCTGGATTTCAAATATAGTCCAGTTTTATATGCATTACTTTAACAGGCTACAAATATGACATTTTCATGCTGATCTCCTGATTCCTAACGAGCTCATGCATCAGTCTATGAATGCTTTAGCTAGTAAGCCCCAAATCCTTCAACTAAAAATCTCTGAAAATACAGATGACATTGGTCCACTTCCAGTACCTCGTGTCTACTCCTCTCCCATTTGAAACTACAGAGCTAGATCCATCATGGAGAGACTGCTGAGAACCTGAGCATGAATGCATGTTTGTAACATGAGAAGAGCAGCTGATTTTTTCAAAAAGCACTTGCCTCTTTTTTGGGCTACAATCACAGCTAAATTTGCAGAATGTTATGAAAAGAAAGTTTAAAAAAAAAACAGAATGTAAAAATGTGCTTCATTTTTGCTAGGAGATGGTCTTTCTCTAGAAAGGATTCTTCTTGGATAATTATAAACCAGAACCATCTATTGGAGTTAAAGGCTTCTACATTTGGCCATGGACATATTTTATTTAGAAATTTAGCAACTATCTGACATGAAAGCCAGACAGACACTTGAGTGCCACTGCCTGTTTTAGGTAGAAATTTTCTGTTTTTAGAAACTACAGAGCATGTGTGTGGGCAGGAGAGAGCAGGGAGGAGAGGCTTAGGATGTCATTCTTTAGGCGTGACCCAAATGCTACAATCTGTGGAACGCAGCTGGACAGAGTGAGGAAGGTCTCTGCCTCCAGTGGGGAAATCACACTGGTGACACCAGGAGCTGATTTGTCTCTCCAGGAATGTTGCCATCCACCACAATTCAACCCCTCTATAATATGATTTTAAAAGGGGATATTCTTCCTCAGAAAATGCCAGATAAGAGCCTCTGATAGGCAAGGAAAGTAACACAATGAGGAGTCTTCAGAATGGAGTACTGTGGCTGTACTGAAAACAGGTGAGGGATGCTGTTCATAGTCTGACAGTCCCATCATCAGCTCCCCAGACATATCCATCAGCTAGCACAAAAGGAGCTAAAATTCTGTTTAATCTCCATGCTGTCATCCACACCTACTGTCTCTGATGGAAAGGAATCAAACTGGATGCATTTTGTCATCCCACATACCATAAGCAGAGTTCCCAATTAACTCCAGTGACTTCTGTTGTGATACCACAAGGCAACAGAACTACTATATAGCCATGGATTTTTTTTCAAGTCAGTTTTAATAGCCTTTTAAAGTTTCTTTAGGATCTCCCTGAAAGCAAAGCCCTTATGTCAACAGAAAGCTTTGCTTCAACATGCTTCACTTGTTACTTTCATGGATTTTTTTAAGGTCAAAGATTTCACAGTTAAGTCACGCAGATCTCACTTGACCCCCAGGAAATCAGATAATGCAACATACTGCGTGTTTTTAGGAGCATGTTGTCCAGCTATTCAGAGCACTCTGCTAAGTGCCTTTGTAGAGATCTTACCTGCTCAGTGATGAAGGAGCTTGAAAAGGTGACAGCTGACCAAAAGAAGATCCCACAGCTGAGAATGATCTTTCTGTTGAAACGGTCACCAAGGTAACCAAAGATAGGCGCTGCCACCATGAAGCTACAGATGAAAACTGCAAAGGAGAGAAAAAGGAAAGAACCATTTAATAAACACAAGGCCAAGAACATGAAAACTAATTCTCTGCAAACCAAATCCTCCAGAGAGCAGTTCCATTTAATTGGATGTGCTGCAGCCCTGGCTTACAAAGTTACGCAGTCTGATAGGACTGCAGCAGTCGGTGTTTCCTTAATCAAACAGTTTTTTTTCATTCCCAGAGAAACTTCAGACCAGTGAACTTGTGCTACATCTGAAAGCATGAACAAAACCAGGGCAGAATAAATGAAGAGCTTCTGCTCAAACATCACTTGAGAAGGTGAAGTGAAGGCTGGAAAGAATTTTAAACAGAAAGCAAGCCATAGGCTCCTTGTTGACTCCTGCAGCAGAAAGAGAGAAACAGACCACAAAAACTGAAGATCTTTAATCTGTTCTATCATTTTATGGCAACCACAATACTGTTAATATTACTGAGGCACCAGCCCTGTAGTCAGACAGAAAACTCCAGTCTCCTTATTCACCAGCACTGAACTTGTATTTAAACTCATCACTTAGTAACTATTTCACTAACAGAAATAGTTCACAAAGCCCTAACAGGCCAGGGACGTTCAGCTGAAAGATTACAAGTTTCCCTTTCCCCCACGCCTCCCCTCAAAACCACAAAGCATTAACTCAGGACGTTCTGGCATGCAGGAAAGAGCCTCCTGGTAGAATATCCTCTGCAAAATCTCCTTGACTTCAGAGTTCACTCCTCCAGCCTACACCAAAACACCTGTTTAGTGACACCACACAAACACCCAAAACAAGGCACTCACACCACAACTACAATTAATTGGAAACGTTGGATAAAGTGTCAGATTTTAAGCTGATTTAATGTCTGCCCATGTTAAAGATTTGGATGAATGCAACCACACTGCTTTTACTGCTATGCAGTTACTCCAGGATCAATTTTAGCTTTCTGGGTTTGGCAAACCCAAGTGGGTGGGACATGGATACCTGGAGACCCACCTTTGGTCAGAGAGTTCGGGCTCACATTGGGCAGTTCCACTTCTGCCACTGCCTGACCTTAGCCATCTAATTCATTAGATGTTAAAGCGTGGGAAGAAATAAAGAAAAGAAAGGGCAAGAGAAGGATGCATACTCCCTCAATTGGAATGTCTGTATAAAATTAAAGTAGTCACAAATAATGAATTTTTCATAGATAGCGATGCACGGAAGCCCAAAAACATGCAGAATGCTAAACTATGATATGATCTACAGCTCTTCTTTTTTAATATATGAAGACGTCAAAGCTGCTTTACAAATTATATGCATCCATTTGCATATATTTTGTGAGGCATACAACTGTTGTATATCAACTTTGCACTGTGATGTTTATGGTGGGAATTACAGATTTACTTTATTGATATATATTTTTTAATTTACAGTTAAATAAATAAATAGAGAAACATGAAGATACCAAAAAGAAGTATGTGCAGCATTCTGTCAAACCCATTTCAACTGTATTGCTGCAGACAATCTCGCTGTTTAGCTGGCACAAATTCTGGCTTACAAACCTCAGCCTTGCGAGGCTCTAATTGCACTGGCCCCAGTCCAGTCAGGCACTTAAGCACATGCTTATATTAAGCACTTTAGAGTTGTACACTCTGTGATTAAACGCTTTCCTGAATGAACACCAATGTGCTCGACACCTTGCAGAGCTGGTGCTGCAACTGGGCACAGTGTGACTGCTTGCTGGGGATGAAGGGCAGAAAATGACTGTCGCCACCCATTGCAGTTTGACTTTGACCTTGGAAGGATGCTGGAATTCATTCCTCTCACAATCAGATATCGTGCCATTTGTATGATGTAAAAAGACATAAAGCTAAAAGAGCTTTCAAGGGAAAATTAGAAACATTCAAGTCAGCATCCGAACGTTTCAAATATTGAATAACCCAATTAATTCCGATTTGAGACAGTGGGGATGATTCAAAATTCACACTGATCAGTGGGACTGTTAGCTTCGGTGACTTCTGGATGATAAATGTAAAGTCTAATTCTGGATTTGGACAAAAGTAGGAAAAAAAGCACAAATGTCCTCTTTCCAATAAACTGAGAAAAGTTCATCCAGGGCCCCTCCAACAAATTACATCCTGCTTTTACTCAGCTCTCTTTGGAGAATTTATTTTTGGAAGGTTCTGTTCTGAACAGAGCCAGGAGCTTTGTCACCAGTGAACAGCCAACTTGACAGCTCCACAAGGTGTAAAACGAAGGGACAACAGAACCTAATAAATAACAGATAATAGAACACAGCTGTCATAATAATAAATGCAATTGCGATCACAGTATTTATGACCCAAATATGCATCAAAGCATTGATTGACTCAAATAAATGCAGAAAATGATGGCTGTGTGATCTGTCAAAAGGATTTGCCTGTTATAGGCATTTCCCATGAATCAATTTTTGCAATTACTCCTGCAGATGACAGATGAGATTCCTGACCACCAGACACAGGCTCTACAACAAACAAGAAGTCAGTCTGTACTCCTGGAGCCTGGGATGGCTGAGCTGAGGTGAATGGATCAGGGCACGTTACCAGGTGGGATGGAAAGCTGAGTAACTCTAGGCCAGGAGCTGAGGTTCTATGATAACCAAACACTATGAAGGAGAGATCTTATCCAGAAGACAGAAAATTGCCTGTGCATTCTGCTGGGAAGAGGGGCAGCAGAAACTAGATTAATTTGCAGAGAAAGAAGGCCACAGCATAATGCAGAAGGATGTGTTCCAGTAAAGGAGACTAGTACGTGTGCCAGCCCCTTCCTTGCTAGCTCCTATGCCCTCCTCATCAGCATTTTCTGCTCTTTGTACTCACGTACTCCCAATTAGTACCCAAGTGACACTACCACAGCTGCTGCTCTGGATCAACCCACTGCCACAAATCCTTTACATAAGGAGTGAGCTATGACAGGAGCTGGCATTTCATTTGCCTCTTCCTAATCAACAGCTCCTCTTCCATTTATACTTAAAGCCCTCTTAGAATATTACCAACTCTTGAAGAGACATATAGTGCAAGTCGGGGCAGAGTTAAAAATCCACTGGGATTTGGGATGAGCTCCTGAGGAGGTAGGGATTGCATTTAGAGCAGCCATGGGCAGGTAGAGCAACATCAGTCACCATTAAGTGTGCCGTACTGCTAATTTCTCTTGGTAAATGATATCTAGCTGTGCCAGCTAAAGTGGCTCAGTCCCAGCACTGGGTGGAGCCGAGATACATTTCTGCAGAAGCAAATTATCGTGTGAGCAATGGATGAATAAATAGACACATAATGAATGCCATCCCAGGAGGGAGGTTCTGTTAAGTACAGGTATTTTCTAAAGGAGATCATACTCGTCCTTATGCCTCCCTTTGTGGCTTAGCCACTAAACTGCCGACTGTGGTGAGAATGCAGGAAGAGTGTAATTGCCCAAACAGGATGGCTTAGTGTCTATTTCTGCCTCTGAATGCTTGTCCCACCCTGTACAGGTGCACGGGAACCTTCACAGCCAGCACTGCCCAGCTTTTTCTGTGCGTGACTGGAATTACAAAAATTTGTAGCATCCAAAAAAAAATTCACCTTATATTCCCTTCCCTCTCCTCTGCCCAAACGCACCAGAGAAAGAAAGCATCCTCCCCTGCATCTATTGCCCATATTTCTCCTCTTTCTCCTCCAAATAAAAATTTGCCATCTTCACTCTACAATTGTCCCTATACTGGCACTGACCCATCAGCTTTCCACCCTTTGATTCCTAATATGCTGCTGCCTCTGTCCCCATTGCTCTTTTCCTACACTGGCTGATCAGCCCTTTGTGTCTCAGAGAATGGCTTTTCTTGCCAAGAGGCCATCCAGTTGGTGTAGCCAAGAGGGAAGAGAGGCACTGATGTGGGCACACGCAGAGGCTGCATTTTCTCAGTTACTGGAAGGTTAAAAACATCACTGCCATCTCCCAGAAAAGATCCCTTTTTTCAATATTATTTCAATTACACAGGATTCATTTTTTTCTATCAGGAAAAATGTTAGAAAGGTTTCGGTTCAGGTAAAAATAGCTTGCTTGCTCTATGCAGGGATGCTCAATAAGAAAAAATAGTGGCTATCTTTCAGCTCTGAGTCAGCACAAAACCATATATCCAATGTCTAATTGAGTGCTGACAATGTGTTTGGCTCTGTGGAAGGCAAACCCAGACAGCCTGTGCCTCAGGGGACTGGCAATCCATTTAGACACAGCACAGAACCATGTGTTGGGAGGTCATTAATATTTTCCCAACAACAAATTTCCAAACAACGAGAATACCCAAACACCCAGCTCTTGGATGGGATAATTTACAGGTGTGTGCAAGCACAGCCCTGCTCTTCCTGCAGGAAACCTTGTCCTGCTGGGATCTGATGGAGCCATTTCTACACCAGGGGCTTTTGAACCTGAGAGCTCAGACACAATATGGTGATGTGATCAAGGTAAAAGATTTCTGATATAGGGTAATCCAAGGTCCTGGCAAATCTCAGCAACACGATTTAAAACATTCACCCTTTGATAGAGGGTGAATTCTTACAAGTGTTAGCACAAAGCTTCAGCCTTCAAATCAGCATTATCACAAACTCTGCTATAGGTATGCTGTTCTATCTCTCTCTGCATTTATGTTTTTTTACTTCATTTCAAATTCAACAGCCAGCAGATGGATCACATTACTGCTTTTTGCCAAGTGCAAAACACACGAGCACTGGGTTCCAGACTATTGTGCAGACTAGAAGTTTCTGACAAGTGTAAGGAGCTTTGAAACACACCATCAGTTCCATATGTCGTGCAAAGCTGTCATATACTAACAGCATAAAACCCAGGAGCATTAGAAAAAAACAACAGGCTATGGAACGCACCAAATCATTTGGACTTATCTCCAAGTTTTTGTTTTGACATGGCCAGAAATGCTCTCCCAGAACAGAATGCTGCACAAGATCAAGCAGAGAACTTCATAAATGCTAACTCTTGTATGCTGGTGTCCTCAGTAAATTAATAAGAACAAAAGCAGTGCTTTAAAAGGTGTGAACCTGATTATGCACTTCTCTAGCATCTCTGTTTGGCAGGACACTTTAGATTGTGTTTTCTTCACTGCAGACACCACTCATCAGTATTCCTTCTCCAATGTACCCTGTGTTCTCTGAAGTATGTTGCACCACGAGGTGCCAGTTTTTCCCTAGAGTAAGCTGATACAAAACATAAGCAACATGTTTAGGGTGAATGTATACAGCTAACATACGTGTTTACACTGAGAAGACAGCTGCTGTATGATACCGCTCAATTCGTTTGGCTGTGACAGGGTCAGAACCTGGTTACAAAAACACAAAGACAGACGAGATCTGAACACAGCTTTCCTGGCAAGTTCATGCTTCACTCAACATCACACAAGCTGCTGCTCAGGGAGGGGCTCAATGCTGATAATTCCACTCCTTTTCCTCACTGCAAAATCCAGATTCCTCCAGGAGTTAGCCCTCGTAATCCCAGCAAAGGATATCCTGAAAACTGCTTTGTTCACCTCAGCCAACAACAATAATTGCTTCAGGGGGAATTGATGGGAAATGTACTCCACAGTAAAAGAAAATCAGGTAAGAATAACCAGAAAAACAGGCCAGTAACACACTAGTAACCCCGGAGCTCTGAGAGAAACTGTGCTGGGCAAAGAGCAAACACTGTCAAGTGGACAAATATAAGCAATAGCTGTCAGCACTGCCACATGTAGCACAGTACACCATTGATCCAGACAGTGGTATGTGATGCCACAGATGTGAGCAGTACTTTACTCTGTGCATTAGTGCATAAAGATCAATAAATATTTCTCTTCAGCCTCCAAAACCTAGACAACAGCTACAGGGATGAACTCTAATAAGGGTGAAGCTTAGAAAGGGAAACAGCACTTACACGTGAGCACTGTGGCTCACAGGCTGCCAAAGGCTGGAGTCCTTTCGCCACAGCCTGTGGCTTCTGACATGAATAGACATAGAGATACTACCATCCAACTACAAATCAAAGCACAAAATATTCACTCAACAAATCCATCTGCAAGTACCTGTAGAGAGAGAACTGCTGTCATTCGAGTTGTCCAAAGAGACTACTTCAAAAGCTGGTGAGAAGATAAAGCAAAGTTTGATCAGCAGCAGCAAGGGCTGGTTACAGCTGCTGGGCTGCCATGGCACCACAGCTGAAGGCAGCCTACCTTCTAAGACATGCCTAAGCTCTTAACTTAATAGCGGTCCTCACTGCTATGGTCCATCACATATCAACACTCCCTGAAGACCAGCAGTGATCCTCCTCTCACTTAGGCCTCACAAAGACTGCTAATGTGCTCCAAACAAGATTTGAGATCAGCACTGTGGAGGCGAGGAAAGAATAGCCATGAATTAGAAGCTAAGCTCTAAAACGCTCAAATTTTTTCACATTTCTTTAGATTCTTTTCCAACATTATGTCAATTGAAAGTGCACTTAAAGATTTACCCATTCACATCTAGAATACTGCTGAAGCAATTAAGTAGAAGGTTACTTGTAGTTATTATTTCACAACCATTTTCCATATCCGCCAAGGATTCTCTATCACGCTGCACCTCAAAATTTCTAAGTGTGGCAGTGGAAACACTTGCATTTTACTGTGCTGTTCTCTCTGGATGTCCAGTAAGTTTACTTGGTGGAAGAGCTAACTTGCTACTCAATTAAATTTTGAATAGTTCTGTGCAGGCAATGTAATTAAAAAAAAAAAAAAAAACCAAAAAAAAAAACTCACCTGCTTCTCACTTTGGGAATTACAGTGAATACATTACCACTGTTTCAAAGGGATTAGGACAACCTGAACATCAATAAAGCAGCTGCTGCGTTAGTGGAGATGTGCTTCATAGCACCACTGCAATCCAATGAAGGAAGCCCATCAGCTTCCTTGGTGCCTGGCACTGAGTGACGCAAGGAGCTGCTGCTGGGAGACATGCAGGTGCAGCCAAGAGCCAGAAATGGCTTTTGCAGTGAAATACAAGAAGTATTTGCTAGCATACCTTCATTCTGTGGCTATGCAGTGCACTCAATTGGGGCACTAAAACTTGCATGTAAGAACATATGAGGACAAACAGACACCACCTTTCCTCCTCCAAAATAATGTCACCTCTGGGTGAGTGCCACCCTGGTTCGCTACCTGGTGTCCTTAGAGAGGGGCAGGAACAGGAGGCTGTGGCAGAGCTTGTTTCCCTAGGCAGCGCCATGCAAAATGTATGCAAACCTATTGCCTAAAACAGCATGAGATTGCTAAAACATAACTGTAGCTGAAGATGAGATTCTTTGTCTGATTTTCATTTCCATACTGTGAGAAATGCAGTGATTAAATAAGTCAAGGCTACTTTTGATTTGTATTCACTTTGAATTGTATATCTGCAAAATACTTTTAGTGCAGTTTGATTTAGACTCCTAGCCAAAGTTCGCTTGGTTCAATGGACACCAGAGGTTTTTGTTTAGATGTAACTGCTTACAAATCCCCGATGCACCAGAGATCAGAACCTCTTTACCAGTAAACACATTCTAGTGCTTGTAACTCTACTGCAGCCCTATAACATAACATTTTATTACTGAGAAAAGTACAGAAAGCATAAAATAACTGTCAAGAGGACAAAAATGTTTTCATTCTTTTACAGGAAAACATGAAGAAACCTGGAAAATAAACAACTGATCGGGGATACAGAAGAGATCTATGTCCATGAATAGCAGGGAGTAGGACAATACTGAATTAGCTCTTCCTTTAGAATACTGGCCACATATTAAATACAAGTGGTAGCTACAAAATTCAAATCAGAAGAGACCCTCCATGCAAGAAAACTTAATTGAAAACTGGGGTGTTGTTACAGGAGTTTGTGGGAACACAAAGTTTAAGCTGTTTCAAAATAGAATTGGAGAAAGTCCAATCTGAGGGCTACTCCCCAGCAAGAAAGTCCTCAACATCCAGTGGATAAGGCAACCAGGGAATTTAACCATAAACTGCTCTTTCCTTTTGCTACTGATCATAACCAAAGACTGAATAATATAATAAAAGGACCTTTGGGCTGAACTGGTAAAACTATTCCTATGTTATTTGATTAAAGTTAAAATACAAAAATTTGTAACATTTCTGTTAGCTTGCTTAGGTAATGTCTTATTAATGTGTTACTGAATTGCACCTAGAATAACTTCTAAAAGCTTGAATGTGATTCACAAAGCTACGTTTCTAGAATTACAAAGGACTCAGTCCTTTGTAATTGCACTCTCAGGCTGAAGCAATGGAGCACCTCTTCAGCTAACAGAACCAGGAGCCTTGCAGTTTCCCTTCCGTTTGAATTCACTGGCTCTGAACTTCGCAGGCTCACACAGAGGAGTGACAAACAAACGACTCATCTGCTCCCAGCTGCAGCCTCAGTGCTCATACAATATATGGCATGTGTTGGGTTGTCACTGAGCAATCAGTGGCAGGAAAACCTCATTAATTTAGTTAGACAATTAGGACGGATTTGTATTTGTTCTGGTCAATCCTGATTTAGGCTTGAGATCCCAGAGGTATGGAGGTTGGTCAATAATGTTGCATCACTGTGACACTGCAAAGTGACAGTTCTACAAGACTGGTTTGCCTCGACAAGACTAAAACACATACACAACCTTAGCTGCTGGCAGAGAGAGTCAGTAATTGCTCCAAGCACTCAAGAAGATCACTACATTTGAAAGAACAGCAGTTCTGTATTTCTCTTTGAATGCAGTTTTTGAGGATGCTCTACACACATGCTGTCCAATGGAGATCTTCAGTTGCAAGTGGAGCTCTGCCAGGGACCAGGGCTGCTCTCATTGTCCAGCAGAGAAGCGCCTGTAGCCAGGGCTGGAGAGAGGTGCCCTGAGAAAGCACTGAAATGACTACAAAACCAAAGAATCCTTATTTTATTCTCTTCCCTTCTTCTTCTTGACATCTTTATTATCCTACCACATCCTGTCAGGCACACACACTACAAACACGGCCCTGCAGCTTTAGGAAACAAAGGTTAGCCTTTCCCTTTTGCAGGTGCAGAGCTCATGGGGCCTGCAGGACAGCAAAGTCGGGGCCTGCAGAGAACTGAAAACTGGCCCTGGGGCAGGAACAGATTCCTAAAGGCAGGAACACTTGTGTTCACCTTTGCCCACACAACCTTCACAACCACAGTGTGCACTCAAACATACCAAGAAATAACAGTCTAAAAACAATTATGCAAAACAATCTAAATCCTTCAATCCCTGAAATTTCTGTTGAGCACCATGAATCAGATTTAATTAGCAAGAAAATGCTTCAAATCTGTTATTCTCTTAATAGGAAGATGTATCATTTGTATCTGGTACAAAAAGAAATTATGTTATTTGTTTCCAGTTTGAGATAGAGAAAGAAGCCTCTTTTCATCCTGAACTGAGGTTTACCACCCCTTTTTACCAAACCATTAATCCTGTGAACGTTTCAACTTTAAATCATTAACCAGTGTGCAACAGGAGTCATTCTGCCTCCACGAAAAAGCAATGTTGCAACAATGAAAGATCAGGAAAGAGAGAAGATGCACTGAAAGTACAGTGTGTTTATTACTAATAAGTTCTTTGCTACATGTCATTTAAAGATAGCAGCAGCTTCCTATGAAAAACAATACAATAAGAAGTGCTTCCCCTTCTCTTTATTGGAAAATCAAGAACTTCTTATGCTATGGCACTCACAGAAATTAGCTAAAAGTGTTCATCCATTATATCCTTATCCCAGAGCTTTTTGTAATGCTTCAAGTTTGTTAGGGTTTGTTTATAAAAGGAAATCCACAAATAAATGACCAATGCTTTGCTAACCTCTACTGATGAGCTGCTGGTTTTACTTACAAAGCTGGAGACAGCCTGTAATGACCAAACATACATAAATAGGCCATATGAACAGCTTGGCCACAGATGAGCTAACTCAATTACAGCTATAACAGGATAAAGGATCTGGGGAAGGCTGCTGCTCAGCTGATGTGTCTGCAAGTGGCCCCAGATGAAGGAGCCCTGCAGCTGTTGCCTTCCAGCAAGGCTGTAAGCTCAGAGGGATTTTCCAGCTGCCAGTGTGAGGGCGATGATGCAGGTGGGGTGGGAGTGATGCTGAGTGGCAGAAGAAAGCCTCGTGGCAGCCTCGCAGCCACACATCACTCTGCTTTGGGATGTGTGGAGGGCATGGTGCTGTGCTGCTGCTCTCCCTGGGCAGCCAGAGGGGCTGATTGATTTTCTTTGTTGTTATTACAATAACGGTTCTTTAGGGAGCCGTTGGACCGTAGCTGTCATGGCAAAATACATGCTCCCTTTTTTGAAAGGAAAATAGCCATACTCTCATTTTAATTAAGTAATTGGCTATCAACCATCAGAGCACTGACAGCCTCATTACAAACATTTTCTGCTCTGGTCAGGATGAAAGGATGAAATTTGACTTTGCTTCAGTGCACTGTGGTTCAGCAGTACCACAGAAGTGCAGGGGCAGAGCACCGACATCTGGACAAGGAATCGTATTCACAGCATGTGCTTGCACACAGGCAAATAAATAAAAGCATGTCAGGGTTTGGTAGCAAGCTCCTGTCACACTGCTCTTCTGCAAAATGTTTACCTTCATATTCGATTCAAGCCATAATCTTCAGGAGTGCTTATTGCAGATCAGGAAAATTGTATGCTTTAAAGCCAATCTAACCTCAGTAACTAAGAAAACTATCAGTCTCTAGGGGAGAAAATGGTGATTCATCTCTACGTTGTAAGCTAACTTCCTTCATGGTTCAGATCTTTCTAAGCAGACTAACTGGCCTTATGCCTCTAGTTATCTGGAGGATGGCAAATATTTGCCAGATTAAGCTGAACTTTAAAAGATGAAAAGTATTACCCCTCATCATGAGAACTTCAAGATGACATCTGAAATTATCTGATTTTTATTTACTTCCTGTTCTAAAATGCACACATCCCAGCATGAGGTACTTCTCTTGATATCTTTCCAGCTGCAGCTATACACTAATTTATTTTTTTAGGAATAGAAATCTCTTTGGAATAGGAACATGTTAAAATCTACAGATGATATGGATATAAAAGCAGTTGTGTCATTGCTTTTGTTTGATACTCATCTGGGAGCCTGGAATTGTCTTACTTCTCTCAAAGTTTTTCCTCCAAATTTCTCCCCTCCCAGAGGCTTTAGCATTTCACATGGGCACATTTGTGGAGGGAGCACAAGTGTCTCAATACTGCCCTCCATACTTTTACTTCTAAAACACTGCTTGCTGGTCACAGAGAGAATTTCAGTATTTTTTTCCTGCTCAATTGCCTATTTTTTTCTGAGATGGCTATAAAATACAGGGGTACCCAGAGCAATTACAGCTCTTGCTATGAATGTTACCAGTCAAAACTGCACTCATTTTCCAGAGGAACTTTCTGTAGTGCTGACTGGGGTTCAATTCAAAGTAGAGTAGAAGAGAGACATCTCCCTCAGATGGAATTTCAAGTTTTCTCCTTAACAGCAGCGGCCATCGCTTTGCCTCAGGCGCTGGCAGCGAACACCGAATGAGGAATCCCCTAATGAAAGATCCTTCACGTAACCCCAGGAGACCACTTCATAAGAACAGAAGAACAATGGCAACAGATCAGAAAGCCGTGCAGCCTTGTATCCTGTCTGTGACAGAGACAGCAATCAGATCCTTCTGAGGAAAATACAAAAAACTCCTTTGCAGGCAACTGCATTACCCAGAGGCTGGCCTAAGCCCTCAGGTTTTTTCCCTCTCAAGAATTCATTTAGATTATTACAAGAATGTGTTATCCCCCTCAAGAGCTCACCTTTTAAGCTGTGGTCCTACCAACACTCCTGGTGGCACTCATTTCCAGGAGTTCACTGGTGTGTTCAGAGTGGTTTCCAGAAAACTGACCTGTACTGACTGCTTCTGCACTAGGAAGAAAACACGAAATGCACAACCTGCCTTTTCGAGACATCCCTTCCTTTATATTTTCTTATGCTACCTTCCTTATTTTTAAGAATGAGCAAATGAATAATACAGATTATCTTTAAAGCTTCTGCTGTAAGAAGGAAGTGAAGGCAGGCATGTGAAGACCAAATGTGTGTATGCACTGCTGGCTGAGCTGGACTAGACACACTGACCGAGAGCATCGTGGAAGTAAACTTGCTGTCTAGTTTCATTCTGAGACATGAATTCTCTACAAGTCAAGGAAGGAACCATTTGTGCTCTCATTTATCCTGTACCCTGAACAACTTCTTATTTATTTCCCAAGTCATTATACTTGGGGTCACAAATACTGCCTGTTCAGACAAAGAATTCAACAGCAGCTGCAAGGGCCAGGAAATACAAAGCTGAACCATTAACCCAGGCTGATGAACAGAACCATGTGGGTCAGGGAGGAGGCAGGACAGACTGTGCAGCAAGATAAACCTCTGGCTAAAAAGGAGGCTCTAGAATCTTAAAAGCTGCAGTGCTGCTTTCTCTTTCTATTAAAGTACATCAGGTAACTCCATCTAAGCATGTCTTAGCTACAAGATGCAGATTTTCCAGACATCCTTCCTAACAAGGCACAGGAGGAGCCAGGGAAGTTATGACATTCCAGATCCCAACAACTCCTACCTGCTTTGCTCATCCAGCACCCTTCAGAGGGCACCACCACCAGAAAGGAGCTGTGTCTGAGCACAGGATGGTGCCATGAATTCCTCCAACTTTGTATCCATCTCCAACCTTGCTCCACCAGCACCTAAACATCTCTCTGGCAGGGTACAGAGCCACAGGCTTACCCATCTACTTTTCCAAATGCCAGCAATATTTCAATAGGCTGCTGTACCACAAACTGAATACAAAGAAATATTGTTATTGACAACAATTTGTAAATGCATACTGACTGGCAGCACAAAATCACATACGATCAGAAGCAGTCTTCATCCTGCAGTGAGAAGGATCACAGAGCATGGGAGGAAGTCCCTGTCAGAGCAGGAAGGGGCTACAGTGATTCCACAGAAGTTATTCATTGATTCAGTTTTGCTGGCACTATTTAGAAATACTCTTGTCCCTTGCTTTTATA